GGGGGGGGGAGAAACTTCATACAGCTTAATCGATAGACATATTCAGGAATCCATAATTATTTTCAAAAAATACATTAATTTACGCTTTTACTGAATTAATCGCCTTTATCATTTGGATTTTTAATTATTATTATTATTATTATATTATTACATATTGGCATGTGAAACTATAGATTTAATTTTATTCTTTCGGATTTTTGCATTTTTAACGATTCGTCTTGCAGTTTTCAAATATTCGTTGTTTTATTTCAAAGCTATACATCGGACAATTAAGAGCGAACGATGCAGTCTCTCACTCGAGTTGAATCGTGAGTATTTTTTGTTACACGGTTCTCGGTGCCGCAAACTTTCGTGTCACGTGTCACAATCCCGGTTTTAATCCGTTTCCCCGAGGGCATCGTTAACGAGCGATGACTCTCACGCCGGCGACGCAAGCGTAATTGTAACGGACGAGTATGCAAATTGTCGGCGCACTCGCTTGTCACTCGATCTTTCGTCATGGAACTGGCCAAACGAATTACTCGCGGATACGGACCCGACCGGGCTGGACCGGGCCCGTACGTTAAAGTCTCTGCCGCCGATCTTCTTTCGCGTCCTCCCACGCTCGTCTCGGACCGCCTCTTTTGTAACCACCGCCGACAGGTTTGCAAAGTCAAGACCCTTTTATCCGAAACGACGCCACGTTCGCGGCCGTCGACGTAAAAATGAGCTTACAGCATTCGCTGTTTCGTTGCGCGACTTTTTACGCACCACATAATTCGTGTCATCCCTCTGGCGAGCTCTCCTTTTTAAGCTCTTTCGGCTTCGGATAATTCTTTCTTCATTTGTCATATGAAAACATAGTTTTAGAGCAGCACAGAACTGCCGCGCTAAGTTCATAGATATCTTTGGAGAACTAATTTAAGCATAATTTATAGCACAATCTATTTAATGAGTGCAAATATTATGAATAAAAGAATTCGATATAATAATTTAAGATATTGGAAGTTACATATATATGTGAAAATTAATTTTTACATATTTTTCTTTTGATGATCAGAAAGAAGCAATATATAAAAAAATTCCGATTTTTCTTTAAACAAATAATACTTTGAGAATAACAGATTTAATAAAGATTTATTAGATTGATTGAAATGTAAAGACATTTTTACAGCATTATGATAATTTAAAAGATAAAAAGATAAAAGTTGAAATGCAGTTTTATAAAATATCGCGTGTTATGTTATCATTAAAATTATTTCTCTTCTATTAATTATTATAAGACTGACTAAAAAATAACATTAAGTCGAATAGAAATGATTAAGATCTCTTCAGAGGCGGAAAATGAGAATATTATATATTACGATGCCACACTAACCCCGATCGTGCACTCGCCGCCGTATAGGAATAGTCCACGCAAAACATGCGGGCGTCGAGTACGAGTGTAATTATCGTAACAATAATCTTCTAGTTCGCGTCTCCCTAAGTTCAGGACCGTTGCGAATTATTGTGACCGATTTACGCGTGTTCATCGCAGCAACCTCGATATACATACGTGCTCGAACACGTTTCTTGACTTTCCTTGCGACCGGCGCGGCGCGGCGGCGTGTCGGCAGTGTTTGCGATGCGAGAGGCGAGCGTCCTGCCCCGACAGTGAATGAACGGAGTAACGAACTCATCAATGAGTATTCGTGCTAATGAGATACGACAGTGAGCCGGCAACTTTCTGCAGCGTTAACGACAAACGGAAAAATTGAATAAAGAAAGTCGTGAAGTGTCCAAATTCACATTCATGAATCTTTATTAGCAAGCATTTTCAGAATGATAGATTTTTTGCGATCTAATTGTTGAAATTTTGTTTAAAATTAGATTTTGCGAAATTAACGCTTAAAGAATATTACGTTGAATCTTAGGAAGATCTGCTGTTTATTTGTGTTTTAATACGAAATAAGTTATCATAATCTAAATAATTATATTGAATTATGATAAATGCTATATAAATTCTGCGACATAAGAATTTACATTTTTTAGCCAGTGCACGGCTAGATGTAAAAATATGAATAATAGTAAACGATTTAATAACAAACAGTTTTTCGATATTGACGATATTGAAATTAATCAGAGATAATCCTGTCTGTTTTTCTATCTCTCTACTTTTGGCGTATTTGGCAAAAAAACCGGTCGTCGCTCTTTCCCGTAACGTCCGTTCTGCTGTCATCGTTCCGTAACCTGCATAGTTGGCGTGGCTCGCGGCGCACCACGCTATGCGATCGGACATGCCTTTGCGCCGGTTGTCGTGTTTCATTAGCACGTGGATATCTCATTGACGGCGCGACTCGGCGGTCTCGTCGGCGCAATCCGTTCGTTTTTTTTTACACGCGGGTTTGTCGGCACGCCGTGGAACATAATCCGCCCATCGCGCGACATAAACGCCACTACCCACGCGCGAGGGTGCTGTGAATAGAGGATATTGTCGGGAATGACTTACGGCAGCTTGGAATGCATTCGATTTCGCTTCCTTTGGTCTTGGCGCGCGAAGGTCGGCGGACTCGGTGGGAAGAGAGAGAAGGATAGATAAATAAAAGGGAATATTTGCTATCCCTTAGATTTTCTGAGAAAGTCGATCTTGTAAGAATAGCTTTTTTTATATTATTTCATTTTCTCGTAAATCTTGTGAGAATAAAATGCAATTATACGGTAGAAAATAAATGGACTATATTAAGGTGAAATTAATTCTACATACATATGTCGTAGAACATCATATAAGCATTATTTGATTAATTATTGAGATATGTACTTGAGACTGATGTTGAAATTGCAATTTCAATAGATATTATATGTATATCATGAAAAGAAAATTGGTCGTGATCCTAAACATATTTTGTAATAGCTGATATTTTGTTTAATGTTAGACATCTTGCAAATTGTGTGTTAAAAATAATAATGTTTTGCAAAGCTTCTATTACTTATATAATAATTTTTTCTATTAAGTTTTGATTATAACAATAAAAAAATTTGTTAGACTTCTGATTCCCGCAGTACCGGATTAACGTTATGCGAGATTACTGGAAAACTCATATACATTTTTACATTCTTTTTATAAATTTTTACCAACTTTGGATGATGGATCGACGTGTTTCCATAATTCGACACGTATTCCACGATTCTCTGGAAGCTGTTTTCACTCCGCGGATATCTCGACGCTCAATTAAATATCCACGACTTGCTTTGCGTCACGTTTTCTCGTTTCAGACAGAAAAATTCACGACTCGCAGAAATTCTTTGAACGCGTCGCGCCACGAGATCCTGACTCCCGCAAGAACCGATCTCGTATCGCCGCGTATCGCGGCGGTTAATTCTCAGACGGTCGACAAGACACAGGTAGGAAGAATGCGGCAAGATACTATATGTTGCCGCGCGACCGGCCGGCCCGAGAAAATCATCAACTTGGACTTTAACAGCGGCAATAACCGCAACGCATACCTACTTCGTACCGGTAGAAAGAACGAGGGGGAATACTCGCGAAGGCTTTTCTCAGCTTCTGTTCTTAACACCCTAGAATGCCCGACCCACTCTCTCTCTCTCTCCCTCTTTCGTGTTTCCGATTTTAATGTTATTAACAATGTATTTATCAT